CCCCCCCCCCCCCTTTTTTTTTCTCTAAGAATTATTTTACTTATTTATTTAAATTTGATCAGAGAGGGACAGAGAAAAAGAGAAAGCAAGTTACCAGGTTGGGGACTTGAACTACCGCAGTCAGCCATGTGGGAGCCCAGCACCCTTAACCATCATGCCACCTGTCAACCCCAAGCATATTTCCTGAGGGTCAGATTTTTTAAAAATGTATGATGGTCTTTACTTACAACTTTATTGGCAAAAATGAAGAGGGAAAACTTGAAGCGGCTTACCCAAGGGCACTGTTGTTGATCCTGTCAGATTAAAGGGTTTCCATTCTACGTGTCATCTATCAGTAACTGTCCACAGACAGTGCTGGGTCTCCATGTGAGAGACAGGTCTCTCAGACAGCCCTGGGTCTCCTTTATGAGACACAGGGCTCATATGTTAGGCAGTCCTTTTTGTTTTGGTGTGCTCACCAGAGAGAGAAATCGCCCCCCAGGGGTGATGGCCATGCTGCAATCCCTTTTCCTCCACTCTCTTCTCAGGATTTTAGGCATATATTATACACAAGCCCACGTGCCTGGTTTTCTCAAGCTGCCAGGTCCAGGACTCCAACCACACAGCCACATGGGATCCAGCTACCCTCACCACCACCCACTGGCTGGCCCTTAGGCAGTCTTTTTTTTTTTTTTTAAAGTTTTGAGAGACTTTTTGCTATTGGGCGTGTGTGCTCACCTGAGACAGAAAGTAAAAATCATCCTTCGGGAGATAGCCATACACAATCCCTTCTCCATTCTCCTCTGGGGATATGCACCTAGCATTAATTTCAAGCCGCCAGGTCTAGGGCTCTAACTGCAGTTGACTACATGGGAGTCCAGCGATGTTAACCATTATGTCATCTGCTGGTCCTTCTTAGGCAATAATTTAAACATAAATACAGGGGCCAGCAGATTGCATCGTGGTTAAGGTACTGGACTCCCACATGGTTTGAGCCTCAGACCCAGCATCTTGAAACTCATGCCAGGCACATGTGTGCCCAAAATCTTGAGAATAGACTGTTGTGTGGCCATCCCCCCAGGAGGGTGATTTCTCACTGTCTCTACTCTCTGGCAAGCACACATGCCCTATGGCAATATCTCTTAAAAAAATAAATACAAAGAAAATAAAATCACTCACTAAAAACTGCATCAAAAGAAGGACATTTTTAAATGTGTTTATGTTTGTGGTAATAACATGCAAAAGGAAAACGAAAAGCTGGAAAGTAGTTGCATTTCCCACCTAAGTTGACAACAATCAAACATTTTCTGCAATGACCATTATATTTTCAATTTATTATTAACTACTCCGAACTTACTATGACATACAGTCAAAGTCCAAAGAAAGCCCATAGGGAGCATATTCCTTTTTTTGGAGAAGGCTAAGCCTTCCAGAATCAGCATGGGAAATAACATCCTGTTGATTCTAGTAGGAAAAAATATGTAGCCAATTTCAACTCATGCTGAGGTGGCTTTTTTTCACTTTTTGTTTGGTGTCAGTCTTCAAAATCAAAAGTTTAATTCTTCTAGTTCACCCACATCTTCTCCAGTAAAAGGTTTTTATCAACAGGAACAGCATCAAGAACTCCACTTTCCTGTACCTCCCCTTTGGTGGTGTCTTCCACATCACTTCTTTTACCATTTCAGCCCTACTTCCAGAAGCCTCACTTAACTTTTCATCTTAATCTGAAGTGTGTGTACTGAATCTTTCAAGACTGGTCACAGTAATGTCTGTCTCACCTCCATCTGTGATACTCAGTCTTAAATCTGTCATTTATGCTCATTGAATCATCAACCTCTTCACCACCTGTTCCCTGGCCATGACAAGTGTGTCACTGCTTTGTCCCCGTTGACCAGTTTAGGATGAAATTTTAAAAAATATGGAGTGCTTCAGGATCTGTATGTCATCCTTGCCCAAGAGCCATGTTAATCTTACTGTACTGTACCAATTTTAGTGTGCATGCTGCCTGAAGTGAGCCCTGGCAATGGGTTTTAAACCATCTTTGCTGTATGTTTTGCTTAGAGGACAAAATACTGTTTTTCTCTTTGTTATCTGGACACTGGCAAGCTCCATGACAGCTATTCATAATTTATCTCTAAGCAAATAACCAGTGAGTCTATTAACCTACAAAAAGTTTATGGAACGTGTATGTTACAAAACTATGCATGGATTTCTTATACCAAAAGAAGACTCATTCTCTCCTCCCATTTTTTTTTTTGCCACAGGGTGTGCTTGCTAGAGAGACGGAGAGTGAAAAATCACCTGTTAGGGGGGGTGGCTATGCCACAGTCTCTATTCCTACTGGGATTTTGGGCATGCAGGGCAAGCACACACATTCGGTGTGAATTTTCCGTCAGGTTTGGGACTCAAACTGCAATCAGCTATGTGGAATCCATTGCCTTCACCGCCATACCACCTGCTGACCATATTTTAACCCCGTTTTCCAAGAGCTTTGTGCAGTGCCCTGGTAGTGGCGGGCACAGAGCAGTCAGCAGCAGGCGGTGTTTAATACCTCAGAGAGCTGGCAGCAGCTTGAGCTCTCAAGTGGCCCCCTGTCCTCCCCTGGTCATCTTCCTTTTCTTGCTGTGGCCTAACTGCTCACAAAGTTTCAAGGGCATGTCAACAGCCTCTAATTGGTTTTCTTAAAAAGGCATTGTTGACTGGGAAGCCTGGTTTGTATTTAAACTCTGCCCTTCTTGCAAATGTCAGGCTTTCCCAATAGTGTTTCAGAGAAGTTCTGTCTGTGTGGGACGGTTACTGAATCAGACCAGATTACAGAGAGCACCACCCAGATTGTGCAATGCTCATACTACAGCTTTGATTTTCTATATGTCATTCATTTCTGCTCAAACATTTTGGAGACTGGTTATTGATGGAGTCAGGCTTTCCCAATAGTGTTTCAGAGAAGTTCTGTCTGTGTGGGACGGTTACTGAATCAGACCAGATTACAGAGAGCACCACCCAGATTGTGCAATGCTCATACTACAGCTTTGATTTTCTATATGTCATTCATTTCTGCTCAAACATTTTGGAGACTGGTTATTGATGGAACCATTTCCAAAACTACACAGACTCCTGTGGGCCTTGTTTCCCTCTGGAGCAGGCCACAGTGCCTATAGCAGCAAGGTGGCTTCTCTGAAGAAAATGCCAAAGACTTCGGAAAAAAATTTTTTTTGCCACTTGAAATTTAAGTTATAGAACTAACTCTGGCTCTTCTCCTTTAGGAATCTGACTCTTCCTCCTCCTCCTCTTCCATCACACAGCTCCTTGTGCCCAGCTCCAGAGCAGTTTGGTTGATCGATGCTTCATTGTCCACATTCATCAGCATCTGCATTAGCCAAGAACATTGCAGATTAATAGAAAGATTCTGGCCCCTAAGCAGCAGCAGCTTAAAAACATTTAAAAATCAGATCTCAATTGCATATTTAGCCCTAAAAGGCTGCTTTCCTCTTTCCTGTTTTCCCAAATCCTGCCCCCTACTGCCAAAAGTGGGGGAAGAATAAATGTCCCAGATTAGAATGTAACCTGATTTACAAATATGACTCTTGTAGAAAGCTCTAATATAAGAACTGTGCTGACTTAAGACTTGCTGCTTTAAAATGGTTTTACATGGGTTAACACACTATCTGGGAGAAATGCTTAACTACAGTGTATTTACAAAGAACATACTTTTACTGACCTAGTTGAAGCCATCTGGTAAAAGAGTAAGATGAGGATTGGAACTCATCCTTTAGTACTTTTACTGTTCTTGGTAATGAAGCCACATTCTATTTTCAAATCCTAAGGTCACTTGTTCACAAAGTACCTAGAGGTTTTACTGCGAATTCCCTGTAAGATCTCCATGTTCTCCCTGGGTTCATCTGAGTAACTGGAGGGAATGGATAATTGGGAGGGTGGAGGCGGTATATTAGTCAGTCAAAGTGTAACAGCTGATAGAAAGGTGGGCTGTCTTCTCCCTAAAATACTAAGTAGAGAAGTTGGCTATTAAACAAAAGTCTTTTTCCCCCCTGCTATAGGGTGTGTGCACTTGCCAGACAGAGAGATAGAAAGTGAGAAATCCCCCCCAGGGGGGATGGTCACGCCGCAATCCCTTCTCCTCCATTCTCCTGTTGGGATCTTGGGCACGCACGCACACGCTCCCGGAGTGAGTTTTAAGCCACCGGGTCCAGGACTCGAACCGTGGTTGACTCTATGGGAGTCCAGCGACATAGCCATTACGCTAACTGCTGGTCCCAAACAAGAAAACTCTTAACAGCATCTCCCAGAGTCCCTTGGGCTCAGTAATGTGCTTTACAATTTTTGCAACGTGGAAGCAGAGGGGACTTGGCGTCCTCTCCCTAGGCCTGCACTTGATTAAACTTACGTCCTGTGCCTGTTGAGGTGCAGGTTGAGAAGGCAGCACTTCATCCCCTCTTCTAGTTCTAATCATTGACTGCAGGGCCAGTTCTTCAACCTAGAAGAGAAGACACTTTCCTTTTCACTGGGCTACTGATATAGGTAAATTCCTGTCACAAGGAGTGATAACTATATTCTCTAAGCTGCTCTAGAGAGAAGGGCAAGGCTCTTAAGCTTTCTCTGCCTTGTTAGGGGAGGAGCAAAGAAAGGCTCAAGCCCCTTCTTCTTGGATTGTTCAGGTGTTCCAGCTAAGCCCTAGCTTCCAATCCCCCAGACCTAGCAGCTTGGGGAGGAAAAACAAGTAGGTTAAAAACAAGTCAGGTATTGGGGCCAGTAGGTGGAATGGTGGTTAAGGCATTGGGCTCCCACATGGCCGACCAGGGTTTGAGTCCCAGACCCAGTGGCTTAAAAATCACACCAGGTGCGTGTGCATACCCACAGGTGCCCAAAATCCCGAGAAAATAATGGAACAGAAGGGATTGCGGCATGGCCAGTACCCTAGGAGGTGATTTCTGACTTTCCTTCTGTATCTCTCTAGTGAACACACAGGTCCTATGGCCAAAAAACAAATTCACTGCAGTCCCAAAGTGAAAACAAACCAATTCATCCTCTCAACCACTCTAAAAAAGTCCAGTGTTAAGGCCAGCCAGTGATATGGTTAAAGTGGCTAGATCCCATGTGGCTGGCTGAGCAGTTTGAGTCTCAGTCCCAGGGGCCTGAAGAACACACCAGTTGGGTTCATACTCAGAATCCCAAAAGGAGAGATTAGCGCATGGTCATTCTACCACCCCCTGCCCCCAGCCTGGCGTAATTTCTCTCTTTTTCTCTCTCTCTGTCTCTGTCTCACTCTCTGGCAAGTACACATGCCCTATAGTTACAAGGAAAAAAAAGTCAAATGTCACCTTCTGATTCCACAAAGGGCTAGGTTTCCTAGCCAAAATTTAACTACACAGTAATAAGAAAGCGAAGCAGAAAGACAAAAAAGTTGGCATCTCCTGAAGCATAAAAGAATCTGGACTTCAGAGGTCACTGACAGACACCCAATATGTGCTTGCTGGGGGTACTGTGGTGATGTGTGGACATAAGTAAGAGTGGGCTATTAAAACTGCCCTAGGGACCGCCAGGTGGCATGGTGGCTGGGGGTGCTGGACTCCCACATGGCCAACTGTGCGTCAAGTCCTGGACCTGGCGACATACTTTACTTTCTCTCTCTCTCTTGCTCTGTTCCTCTCCGATTAAATAAAAATGAATAAAGTTAAATAAAATAATTCTTTAAAAAAAAAAACTGCCCTAAAGAGAAATGCTTATTATTTTATTGGATCACAGCTGTGTGATGCTTTTCATTTTACACAGGGCTTTGGTAATTCTCATTTCATATAGTTTTAAGACTGTGAAGAAGGATGTTGAGCAAGGATTGTCCTAATCTTCTCACGGGCTGAATGACACAGGCCTGGGACGTGGTTCTGGTGGGCCCAAACTCCCACTCCTGGTCTAGGTCATGCAGTCATGACAACGCCAAGAAGAGCTACTAGAACACCAGACTTTGGGACAAGTCTTTTTCTCCCAGGGCCTGAGTCTCCCTTCGCACTGCCAGAGGACAACTCAGTAAAGTGCTTTACTACTTTTGCAACATGGAAGCATGTTGTTTGAAGCGCCAATGCAAACTAGCGGACAGACGCCCAGAAGGGGGCTGGGGAGAAAGCCGCCAGCGGACAGCAAGGGTCTGGGCAAGGCTTCGGGTGGGCGTACTTCTTCAGCGTGGTCTCTGGCCCATCCGCATTTACAGGGGTAAGGGGGTGGGGGTTACTTGCCCCAAACAGGCTGCTGGGCCTCCGCCTAAAACGGCAGGGTCACGGATTCCGCAGCGGGTGGGGCCCGACAGTCATAAACAGGCTCCCGGGCACTTCCGGGTACACAAGCTTGTTTCTAAAACCGAAGAATTGCCGCAGGCGCACACGGGG